GGCTTCAGGGTTTGTTTTCCGCTTTATTTCCGAGTCGAGGCTGTTCGGCTGCTGAATTTTGCCTTTGTCCATGCGCTCCGATTGGGGGGGGGGGGGCTAAAAAACCCGGACGGAGGTAGTATATGGATGCATGCATTGTTTTGATGCAGAGGCGGGGGTTATCCTCCTTTTCAAAAAATAGAACCAACCAGAAAATTAATCCCAAGTCTACCCAACTAATTTATTGCTTATTGCAAGGCAGCAATGTGGACTTTGATTACTACTTAGTGCAAGACAATGTGAACCGATCAGATAGTAGAATTGCCTACGGCTTAGTGCAAAACAACAACTAATTTTCAATATAAAAGTCCACAATGGTAAGTATTCCATCCATTGAATTGATGCAAGACAGCAATGTAGCCACATGTTCACTGCTTGGTGCTTATATACAACTCAGGGTGGACACGGTTCGGGCCGGTCCGGTCCCTGACCGAGCCGTCCTTTGGACCGGCCGTCGGCGGTCCGGACCGGACCGGACCGAGCAGGGTCACGGTCCTGTTTCGAGGGACCGGACCGGCAGGGACGAAGCCCGAGCCGGACCGAGCGGCTCGTTTGGACCGGCCGGAGTTCACCACAGAGCACGCGGCGGAGCATGGCGACGCGGGAAGGGCGCTGGAGGCAGCGGTGCTCGTCATGGAGATGTCCAGCGACTTCTGTGACTCATGGTGGACGGCACGGCGGCCAGGCAGAGCTCGGGCAGCAACAACGACGACGAATCTGGCACGACGGCCGATGCACGACGGCCGGTGTACAACGGCGGTGTAGGGCCTCCCGCTGCAAGTTCTACCTTCCAGATGATAGATCCGAGCATGGCGCATCCACTAGACATGCTTTCCAGCGTCAGGGAGGCCGATGGCCGCGCGGATGAACGACGGCGGCGCAGACCAGCACACGGCCAACGCGCCCACCACGCGCCCGCCATGCAGCTCTGGCCACACGCTCGCCACGCGCCCGCCACGACCTCGACACGCCCCCGCCACGCCCCTGCAACGCCCTTGGCAAGCCCCCTCCACGCCCCTGCCGCGTCCTGACATGCCCCCGCCATGCTCTCGCCATGCTCTCGCCATGCCACAGCTCGTGCTCGTCGGTCCGCTCGGTCGGCTCGGTTAAAGCCCGGACCGGACCGAAGCTTTGTCGGGCTGGTTTGCTGAGCTCGGACCGGCCGATTTTTTCAGCGGGCCAGGACCGAGCCGGCCCGAGCCGAGCGGGCCACGAGCCGGACCGCCGGACCAGACCGTGTCGTCCACCCTGGTATACAACTGATTGATGTCATTGAATTGTGGAATTGCTTCATGTCTTATACAGAATTGATGACATTGCACATTGCTTATATACAATTGATGTCATATTATTGAAAGAGTCATATATCTTATATACAATTGATGTCATACTGCTTGTCAAGTTGGTATTTATCTTAACGGTGGTGACAAGGAGTGTTGAAAGAGTATTTTCGTCAATGAACTAGTGAAAAATAAGTTAAGAACTACTATGAGTGATGATCACTTAAACTATTGCTTAGTTAAATTTATATGAGTTTTTTGTAGTGTGCACACCCTTCATTTTGTTGCTGGGTCCTCCATTGTTTTCACATGCATACATTCATCCCCGCCAGAAGCCCGGAACCCATCGATCGATTCAGCCCTAAATTGTTAGAATTAGTTAATTTATATTTCCCTCTGAGACGGAGAAAACGAAGGATTAAACTTTTTGCTAAACTTGCTTAAGTTTGTGAGTTGTGACAATGGCGCCATTTCTGTTAGCTTGCTTGGCATGCTGATCATGGCGGCGTCACAGAGATATATAGCTCCTTCTATCTGGCCGGCTTGACCACCTTCGCGAGCCCCGAAGAGCCGCCGTACGTCACTCCGGTGTCTCTGAACCCACACAAGAACGGCCGTTCTTCGAGGGATGGCATTGGCATGCCGATGCCGGCATTGGCGGAAAAGCTGGGCACGTTGCAGGCCGAGGCGGAGGACGTGGATGCGACGCGCTTGCAGGAGAGGCACATGGTGAGGGTGGTGAGGGGCCCCGCCGCGGCGCCGTTATGCGCCGGCGGTGCGGCCTTGAGCGCCCTGAGCTCGGCCACCTCCTTCTCGAGGCGGCGGTTCTGCTCGGCGAGCTGCTCGCACCAGCGCTTCATGTACTCGCAGTCCACCTCCGTCTGCTTGAGTTTGGTGCGCGCGCGGCGGTTCTGGAACCACACCTCCACCTGCCGCGGCCGCAGCCCCAGCCGGTTCGCCAGCGCCGTCTTCTGCTTCTGCAAGTCGTCAGGGAGATATCCCGGTCAGCCCAATGTGATCGATCGCCGAGGATCCATGGACGAACACTACGCGCTCGACGGAGGAGGAGGAGAAGACACTTACGGGGTTGAGCGTGCTGTGCATCTTGAAGCACTCCTCGAGGACGGCGGCCTGGTCCTTGGAGAGCCTGAGCTTCTTGCGGCCGCCGGCGCCGTCGTCGTCCTCGTCGCTGCCCGTGGCGGGGGAGACGCCGGAGCCGGTGCGCTCCAGGCCCCTCTTGGTCCCGGCGCTGACGCCGCTCTCGGGCGACGTGGACGGTCTCATCCCCGGCTCCTCCTTTCTATGCAGCAGCTGCTGCCGCTCGTACTCCTGCGCGCCGACGACGGAGCTGAAAGCGGCGGTCCAGTGCTGCGCGTGCGCCTGCGAGGCCGGGGAGGAGGATGCGGTGGTGGTGGAGGACGTGAGGCTGCCCTGGGAGGCGAGCCCGAGCCCGAGGCCGAGGCCCAGGTCGAGACCCGCGGCGTGATGCATCATCGATCTCCGGCGAGCCCGATCCGATCTGAGAACTCTCCGGGGTAGAGGATGGATGATGTTACGGTGGCAGTGCTCGGTGGTGGTGAACTGGTGATGTGATGATCTGGTCTGTTCATGCGGCGGCGGGGTGGTGGGCTATAAATAGGGAGGGCAGCGGAGCGAGCAAATGATGAGCTGTTGGATGGGGGGAGGGAGGTGGATCTCCTCTCCTCGCTCGCGCCAGCAGCATCCAATTATTATTAATTGGCTGTAAATAAATACCTAAATAATGCGAAAATGCCGATTGGTGGCCGAGCTGCCTGGCTCTCGCTATCCTGGGCGTTAGGCTAGCTAGTGATCAGCGGCAGACGCGTAGTATTCGCTTGTATTTCACCCAGTAGTCATTTAACAGCCACCGTATTATTCTTTGATCAACAGTGACATCCCATCTCAATCGAAACGTCATATCAGCGCAGGCACACGCACCTTCACGAATATGGGCGGGATTTATGTGTCTCTCTACTACGTGACCTGAGAGAGGCTAGACCATCAGCAAACTTTCTAGCCATTTACCCACCGTTGGGATTTATGCGCACAACTATTTGACACAACGAATTAAGTTATTTGTTACTGCTGGACGAACCTTGGGATTTACACCCAGAATTACTTGAATATGAACCAACCAGGGTTTTAGTTACCGCTCGAAATTTCGAGATTTACATGGTTATCACGTATTTCGATCCCCTCGGCAAATGGGCATTTTGAGCAAAAAAATTCAAATTTTTCGAATTTTTTGAATTCAAACGCTCAATGTATAGTAAAGTATGGCAGCACTTTGCAACACGTGTTGTAGACAATGTTCCACTAGCTAGTAGCTCTTTCATGATAAGTATGAGTTCAAGTGCTATCTATATCTATTTTGAAAGAGTTTGAATTTGAAATTCAATTATAGATTTCATCCAAAATTCGTTCGAAATTTGCTCGAAATTACGTGGTAACCATGGTAACCACGTTTACCAGTCCCCCTCGGTAAAAATGCACCATTCGGCAACCAAAACCTTGGAACCAACTAGTATTCTAAAAGCAGTTATGCTATTTATTCAACTCTTTTTTCTTGCGAAAAAACTTACAATCTATTCATCTTCTATCATGGACAACGAAAATTAGAAATAATTAAATTTACATCCAGATCCATAGACCACTTAGCGACGACTACCAGCACTGAAGAGAGCCGAAGGCGCGCCGCTATCATCGCCCCTTCCTCACCGAAGTCGGACAAACCTTATTGTAGTAGACAGTCGTGCTACAACCGCATAGGACCAACGCACCAGAACAACAATCATAGTCGATAAACAGTAGCTTAGATCGGAAGCATCCAACCGGAAGACGCACGAACGTAAACGAACAACAACCAAATCCGAGCAGATCCACTAAAGACAGATCCACAACAGATGTATGTCCACATGCCCGCCGACGATGCTAGACGCACCACTGGGACAGGGGCTAGGAGGGGAGAACCTTATTCCATCTTCTGGGAGCTGCCATCGTTTTGCCTTCATGAGCAAGATACAAACCCTAAAAATACTTAAAGAAACGTCAAAAAACGGAGCCCTCCCACTGGCAAAGGACGGGATCCACCACGCCCCTATGCCCCTAAGGCCACCTGAATTTATTCAACTCTTTTTCTCGCTGTCCAAAAAGAAATGTCCATATGTTGCAAAGATAATTTGTTCATGTGCTTAATAAAACCTACTTGTATTTTTTTCCCAAAATGTTCTTCATGAAAACCAGATCGTGTGCTGTAACAAAAATGTTCGCTCATATTGTACTAACAAATGTTCAGGCGTTCCAGCAATATGTTCATTTTTATTAACTTTTCCCATTTTGTTTTTTTTGTTTAAGATTCTTTCAGCTCTTTTTGTACATTTGTTAAAAATCTTCATGGTGTTTTTCGAAAATGAATGGCATGCATTTTAAAAATGTTCGCCATGTACTTTTACAAAAATGTTCATTTTGTTGTCAAAATTGTTAGTTTTGTTGTTAAAAATGTTCATCGCAATTTTAAAAAATTGTTCAATGTGTATTTTAAAAATGGTTAATCATGTATTTTTTTAAGCATTAATTCAACATTTTGAAAAATTAGTCCTCTATTTTAATACATTTTACAAACTATCAATGTGTATTTTCGAAATGTTCATTGTGTAGTTTCAAAACTGTTCATCGTATTCTTAATAATTGTTAACTGTGTATTGAGAAGAATATACAGCGTGTATCAAGAATCTGTTTAACATTTTTTAAATTCATGTTGAACAGGTGCATAAGTAACAAAGTCAACCAATTTTGTAAAATGCAAGGAAAACTTTATGTATACTCGAACACTTTTATAGTTGCAATATGTGACCGTCTTTTCACTTATATATAAAAATAGTGAAATATTTTTTCTTCAAAATCTATATGTTCGAAAGAAGTTTATCCATGCACATTTTTTCCCTCTTTGACTCATGCACACATACAGATACAGGTGTGGTGTGATACCAGAAATACAAACAACCAGAACTGAAGAAAAATAGAAACAACAGATGATGTGCTAGCTTTTGTTTACGAGCGTATGGTGTGCTAGTAGTTGTTAGGAGCTGATTAGTGCAAGGCTCGGCAACAAGTGGGTCAGCGAAGCAGATGTGCAGCATGGCTCATAACAAATGTGCGGGGTGTTCTGGTGCCAGCTCAAATGCGCGCACAAGGCACATCATGTTCATGCAAGCATCAGCCTAAAAGGAGGCCCACGTACAAATTGAGAACACTAGAGAATGGCACAGGTGTATTCCTCTTAAATAGCTAGGGTATATCACTTGAAAAGTCAGAAGGCACACAACCCAATATGACAATGTTCGGTTGAGATAACGGCCACCATGCAGCTCGGCCTCCAAACCGCTCCTCTCTAAATAATGGCGATAAATAATTTCCATTCCGCGCCACCCGCTCATTATAGCCAGCCACCGTGCATGCCTGCTGCTCTGGATCGATCCTGAGTCTTGACCAAGTCCCCCTCCCGCCTTCTCGGCTCGGCTCGGCTCGGCTCCAAGCCGGGGCGCACCTTGGGCTTGGCTAAGTTGTGGTTGTGTGGCTGGCTGTATGCGCCTTCGAACTCGGTGCGGGACTGCGGGGGTACGACAAGCTTGGTACTACGTGCGGGCTGTCTTGTGTTTGCCTGCTTTTTTTGGGTTAATATTACCGCTTTATTCGAACTTCAAATCTCCGAATAACGTCTGAAATTACATCAAAAACAAAGTCTAAGGGGACCCCAACCAAACCTCACATAGTCCGATGAGATCGTGCTATATTAGCAGCCACATCTCCCTAAACAAAACTAGGTAGAGAGCCTAGCTAAGCTAGGGCGTGTGAAATGCACGATAAGTCGCGCGGATCATGGCTCGTGGGTGTTTGTTCTGGCGGCGATGCTCCCTTTCCTTCTCGCCCTGCTGCATTTGTATACTCATCGGTCTGATCGGTTCATCTGTTTGTTGTTTAGTTAACCAACTGCTTTTGCAGACGTCTAATTTCACACGTCAAACTAGTATTACTATTAACCCTAAGGGGACACTCCTATTGCTGCCTACAAAGGAGTCTTACGAAAATGAAACAGTGTAGTAGTAGCAATTATAATTCTTGTTTTCTTGTTTTCTTTTCTTTCTTCTTTTCCTTTTTGGGTTTTCTTTCGGTGTTCCCTGATTAGCCGGGAATGTTAAGTTTTTGGGTCCGATTTTCCTTATAAACTGGATCAACTCTCTTCTTCTTAATAAAATGCAAGAACCCCCTGCCATTACACGAGTTTTTTTAATTAATTCTCTAAAGTGTACAACTCCAATGTATTGCGAAGATCGAAACTCACATCACCACATGTATGGCAGAGTATGGAGCAATACTCCGCTTCAAAGATAAAGCTTGTGATCTGGATTACAATGTTTTGGTCATATAACTATCATACAAGGTGTATCTTCCAAAACAACGCTAGAACTACTGGATATCAAGGACTAACTATACAACACATTTGCACATAGAAAAATTACGAACGCTAGGAAACTTACGAACATGTTGAATTCATGATTATAACTTCAACTGAGCATTAAAAAGCAATGAACATGCCAAATTCCGTTTATAGCTTGAATCGAAAGAAAAGAACTAACGAAAACCTATGCAAAACCAACGCAAGAAAAGCAATGAACAGGTATACCTTCAATTGAAAGAAAAGAGCTCGAAGTTTAGTACAACATGTTAGCTCTTAAACTTTGAATGACTAGTGTTGTAAAATAACGAACTTAATTATGTCTAAATTGGTTCATACCATTCTTTAATACATGAAACAAAAATGTGAAATACCAATCCAACACTTCGGTGGCCTTTTATGCTTTGATAACACCTACCAAGAAAATGCCAATGGCCACCTCTTTTCTACATTAAAAAATAAGATCACATATGTTACATGGGCAGATACAAGACCTCATGCCACAACAAATAAAAAAGCGCCAACGATACATGCCACGAGTACACGGCTTATAGAATTTTAGCTATGGTTTCTCCCTGTGCGTCCTTATCATGGAAGATCATGTTTGACCAGGAGGTGGATATCCTCTCCTTCCTGGCACTCGTTGTATCCAAGTATTATGTTGATTAGCTATAAATAAATAATAGATAATCATGGTAAATAGTTTCCATTCCATGCCACTCGCGTCATCATAGCGGCCAGCTACCGTCCATGCTCCTCGTGGATCTGAATCTTCCTCCTTTGTTTGCCCCATTCGGCTCCCAGCCGAGCCGAGGCGTTTCCTTGGGCTTGCAGAACTTGGCTAAATTGTGTCTATGTGTATGCATTGGAACTCAATGTAGGACTGAAGGGGTACAACAATCTTGGTGTGTGTGTGGTTGTCTCGTGCTTGCTTGGTTTGATGAGATCTTGTTATATTAGCAGCCATATCTCCCCAAAAGTGAATTGGAATCCTATCCTGATGAGATCTACCATTAGA